ATTCCCAGATGGCGACTGAGCAGAAAACTCTCCCAGCATGTGGAAGCCAGAGGAGGTGAAGCCCCAGCCCCACCTTGCCCCAAGATGTGCCTTACAAGAATGTGCAAAGTGGCCACACCAACCTTTCACAGACAGCACCACCTTGTCAGGGATGTTCATCCACAAAAGGAGGCACATACTCTCAGTTACCCCACTTCAGTTCTGTCTCTAAAATAAATGTAGAATTTGATTAGACATGCACAGGAAAAGAGGGAAATATAATCAAACCATGTCAGACTTTATACATGGTACATAAAGTTTATGGGAGCCAGTTGTTTTAGACTGGGCACCTCCTCTCAGCCCAACAGGTCAGACCAAACCAGAATGGAGTCCCTTGTGCTAGGTGCTGCATAATCAAACCAAACCTAGAAATGAAGATTCTGAAAAACTTACAGCAACCAATCAAAAGGAACCCAGTCAACCTGAGCCAGCATAATAAGGAAGTACCCTCAGCTATACCACATAAGGAAAGCAGCTTTGAAACACCAAACCCATTTTTTGTAACCCATTTCTGCTTTCTTCAGTCTTTTCTGCCTGTAAAGCTCACCCCCTCTTCTCAGTTCATTAGAGCACCTATGTTTTAGATGGAATGCTGCCCAATTCATCAATCACTAAGAAAAACTAATTAGATCTTTGAAACTCAGTTTGTTGAAACGTTGTTCTTTGACACAAATAGGCAGAGAACAAGGATGGGCTGGTGTCAGAACACATCACAGAGATGCAGGAGGAGAGCTCCCCACTCACTCCTCCCCAGTAGGCTTCCTTGTTTACTCATGGGGAGGCACCAGCTGCCATTTTTCTTCTTTCACCCCTGCATTCAGGGAGGCTGCTGACTGCTGTGGTCCCAGACAGCTTTGCAATTAAAATGAGACACTTGAGGAATTATCTTCCGGTCTTTCCTCACAAAATCTTAACTTTTGATTCTCACAGAATCAAACCTAAATTTAGAGTCTAGGGATTCCCTTCTTCATCATTGGAGAGACTGAGGCTCTAGCCTGATCAAGGGTCTCTGATTCAAAACTAAATATTCTGGACATACTTGGAGGCCAGTGGAACTAGATAATGATTCTTTCCCCAACATTGATGTACTACCATGAATTTTGAAAGGGACAGAGCGTCTCCAGGGAGAAAGGAACTACACAGATGAACCATTCTCCCCATCCATTGAGGCTTGAAACTATAAAAGTACGGGTGGTAGACCAGGATGCTCCACCCAAAGTTGGGTTGCGAGAAGGGAAAAGAAGTTTCTGCAAGGTAAATCACCTTACACATGAGGACCCTTTCATGGTCACTGGGGGTGGCATCTTATTATCAGATGGCAGCATGTGTGAACTCAGAGGGGAAAAATGTATGTCTTTTGGTAAAAAAAAAAAAAAAAAGAAGGAGCAGTAGTCTTTCAGATCTGCTTAGGCAGATTGTCATTGAGATACCCCCTTAATGATGAATCCAAGGTGTCCCCATACCCAAGGGTCAGACAGCATTGACTGAGGCCCGCCTGCACAGTGGGAATACAAGGAAGCCCAAGGGTCCTTGGGGAGAAAGCAAAACAAGTGTCCTTGTATTTTTATCAGAGGCAGAATTGTACAGCAATTTATATCACTACAGTTGCCAGAGAATTTCCCATGCTACCATCTGTAAGCCAGTTTCTGAGTCTGACCTCCAGGGGCAAGCCTAAATCTCCAGTACCCACCCCAGACAAGCTGTGAGAACACCCTGGCCTGACACCAAGTCAAGGGTGTGCTCCCTTTTGAAATTCCTGGGAACGTCCATGGAGAGAAGTCTCAGGGCAATGCTAGAACACTCACTGTGCAAGGGGGCTGTGGGGGTGTGCCATTGTCAGGGAATCTAGTGTTTATGGGATACAGTTTAAACGTGACCGCCTTTGTCCTCTCTAGCTGATAAAGTGTGAGACTGGCTGGATTGGTTATATAGACATTGTTTCTACCAGGCCATACTTTGTTACTCTTCTGTCTTGTGTGATATGGCCCTGGGCATGTGGATGCCTGGGTTGAGGCAACGAACACTGAGCCTATTGTATTAAGGTTGTCTATTGTATTAATAACTATATATTAGTATGGCTATTACGGGGAGGCCTGAAAGGCAAGGTGGTTACATGAGAATTCTTCTAAAGGGGATAGGGTGGGTGGGCATTCCTGACATCAATAATTGGGAGAAAGAGTTTATCAGAAAGGAAATCAAAACTTCCTTTTTCCACTAAGGCGACAGATAAGGGACCTCTCACATCTTACTCTGCTTTCTGGATATGGGAGTGTTGAACACTAAATGTGGGATTCTGGCTGGAGAGCTCTGAGACAACCACCATGAAGTTGAGCCACATCAGTCAACTTTATGCCACTCTTTCTATTTTTTTTTTTTTTTTACGTTATCCCCAACTCCTGCAAAGCCTTGTCTAAATGGCATGGGCTTGCCTTGGTTTTGCTGCTAGGGAAGGGGCATCTTTCTTCGCTTAAGCCTGAGTTGTTCAAGACATGCAGTCCTCCCAAGGATAGGAAGTAGGGACAGTCACACAGAAACCCCAAGACAAAGGTGAATCTTGGCACAGGGATATGATTCTCCCTCTGCAGCCATCCTTGGGGAGGAGCTCTGTCTGACCTCAAGGAAGCCTCAATCTTCTCATAGCCAAGACTGGATCTGATAAGTGACAGAAAATAGAAAGAACTGAAGGCTCCATTGGCAGATAGGGGAAGCAGGGTCCTTGAGCTTGCTGTTCAAGTTGACAAGAGCATGTGCCAACTTAGCCATCCCCAGAAGCTGAATGTTGATAATAGCTCTAGAAGATGCAGTTCATCCATTTAGCAACATGTGAAATACAGCCAGCATGTTTCCTGGACAATCCTCTGTTTAATTTTGTTAATAAAGTGTTCTAGGGACTCCTGGGGAGAGAGTTGGCTTGGGAATTTGGGAAATAAATAGTGAAGATAAATATTTCAACAGAATTTCTCAGAGGCACCAAAGAAATGTAATTGAGTCCAAGAACTAAAAATTTACTTTGACTGTATCACTGTACACAAGAGAGTTGTCACAGGGGAGCATGGCACATAGATTGATAGGAGATGCTGAATGTAAGTCAATGAATCATACAGTGTGTGCTCTTTTTCTTTTCTGGCTTATTTCACTCAGTATAGTTTATTCTTGTTGCCAAGTCATAATCCATTGTATGTACATACCACAGGTTGTTTATCTATTAATCTGCTGATGGGCATTTAGATTGTTTCCCATTTGGGCTACTGCAAATAAAGCTACTGTGAACATTGATGTGTAACTCTTTGTATGAATATATGCTTCCACTTATCCTAGATAAATATACAGGAGTGGAACGGATGGATTATGTTACAGGCATCCATTTAACTTTTTCAGGAGCCTACCAAATCATTTTCCAATGTGTAGACGAGTTCCAGTTTCTCCACATTCCTGCCAACACTTGGTATGTTGTCTTTTTCATTTTAGTCGCTCAAATAGCTATGTAACAGTATCTCTTTGTGGGTTTCTTTTACATTTTCCTAAAAAGTTAAGCATAATTCCGTGTGTTTATTTGCATCTTTATGCCTTTTGTGGTGAGATGTCTGTTCACATCTTTTGCACACTTAGTTGTTTTTCCTTAGTATGCATTTTTGAGAGCTCTTTACATATTTAGGTTATAAGTCTTTTTTCAGATATTTTATTTGCAAATATTTTCTCCCAGATTGTCATCTGTCTTCATTCCATCAACAATGAAGAGCAGAAGTTGTCATTTAATGCAGTTCAATGTACCCATTTTATTTTTATTTCATGGATTGAGCTTTTGGCATAGTACCTTGAAAAAATCTTGGACTTACTCAAGATCATGAAGACTTTCGTCTCTGTTTTCTACTAGAAGATTCATAGCTTCTGATTTCACATTTAAGTCTATGACTCACTTGAGTTAAGCTTTTGCATATGATATAAGATCTAAATTAAAATTTCATTTTATTTTGCATGGATATGTTCATTGTTACAGTCTTTTTTTGAAAAAACTTATTCTTTCTCCACTGAAGTGCTTCTGCCCTTTATTTTTTTTTTTCATGGTTTCATAGTGGACTTTATTGGGAAAAGTTATTGTAAAAAAACATTCAAATTCATAAAATTTAAATAAGATAGTAAATTATGCCTTGTAGTTATAGTAATCACTCTAGTTATCACAAATAAGGTAAAGTCTAAATTATTGTCTAAGTAAACACTATTTTGTCAGGGTTTTCTGCTGCAAGCCCAAGATGGCAAACATTCCAATTATTAGAAGTGAGCCCGATGATGAATTTGCATTTGAAGCTGGAAGAAAGGGGAAGGTGTGTTCTGATTATGGCATCATGACACTCTAGCCTGCATAAAAAGCAACTTTATTAATGTCCTGCAGCAGCATACATTAGTAATTATGCATTAAAATTATCATTTCATATCATAAAGAGAGTAATCAGTTTTCTTCATGATACATTAAGTTTTACTGAGTTTGTCCCCCTAAAGACCTTTCTGAAAAGATTCCTTCTCCACAGACTGCTTCCTAAGATGCCCAGTTTGCTGACCTGGAAGGTCATCTTTGGTCATTTAAAAGGAGTCAAGCTCTCTGTACTGCACCCTTTTAACTGAGATTGAGCCAAATTCCCTTCTCAAACCCTAACGCCGCCACCACTAAGAGAACGGGCATCTGGGCTTGGTCAGAGCATTACTAACAACTTTATGTGGGATTCTCTTTGGTTATGGAATTTTTACCTTCATTTAAGCAGATTAAAAAAATATAGATAAATGCATTCTAAATTGCATTCTAAAAGCATTTTTAAACAACTTAAACACAAGTATGTCCTTGGAAAATTTACCACCTGGACTGGTTCACAGTCTGCCTGTTTCCCCGTGGAATCTAACATCAGTGTTGTGTTTATCAAATTCATGCGAGTGATCTTCAGGAACCCCAAGGGGTGGGGGAAGCTGGCCTGGGCAGACCTAGATGCTGTCCATGGCTTTGAACTCGCTGAGGGCCTGCACCGGGTTCACGTGCTTCTTCTGAGATGCCCATTTAATCTTGGTCTGTGTCTCATCCTGTTTCTCTCTCTTCATCAAGGGCTTTTTCTCTGATGCCTTCATCTTCCATGACCCAGCAGGAAGGCTGAGGGAAGCCATACCCTGAGACTTTTGGTATTTGGTAGAGGCGACGTAAGATGTCTTCACTGTCTGGACCACAGCATTCATCAAGTTCTTGGCTGCCTGGATCAGGGACATGGTGCTGTCCACCCCAGAGACAACGAGCTCCCCGCTGAGATTCTGTACCTCGGCCTTGACCTTACAACAGATATTGGGCTGGTGGCAGTAGAGGGCAATGCGGTGCACGTAGACCAGCAGGTCCTGCTTGCAGGCCGAGTCGGGGCAGTGGTTTGTGATGGTGTGGCCAAGCTTCTCCATCCTGGATCCTGTCTCAGCAATTTTCTTGGCAGCACTGATGACATCTGATGTATTTTTGAGTGGTCCTTTACCTCAGGTAAAGCCAGTCATCTCCAACATAATCATGCACATCTGCTTGGCTAGTACAATGATGTCATTGCCACTGTCGTCCCATTTGGACACTTCAGCATCCAGCTTGCTCTTTTCTTCCTGGAAGCTGGCCACCTGTTCTGCAATCTTCACTTTCTGCCCCTGGGGAAGCTGAGCCATGATCACCCGGGCACTCTGGTCAGCTATCAGCTGATTGTCTTCTGTCTGGACGCTCGTCCTACTTCCAACATCGAAATCTTCCGTCTCAAAGCCAGAGTCATCGAACTCCTCAGGGGTTCTTATCATCAGCACTGCTTTCCTGATGTCCCAGATGCCATCATATACCAGGCAGGAGGCATCGATAAACTCATTCTCATCCATGAGTTGGCCAGGGTCTGAGCTGAGGGCTTCCATGGCTGCTTCTACTTGCTCAGTGAAACGTGGCATGACTGTGTTAGAGAGCAGCTTAGCGGCTTCCAGAACCTTCTCTGTGTAGACTCCTGGCTCATCATTGTCCATCTCTGAGGTGATTATGTGAATGACCCAGGCTGCCCAGCCTCTAATTGCACCAGCTGTGCGGTCCAGGCCATCCACATCCTTCTCTTGGAGAGCAATGACACATCTGTTCACATCTTCCAAACTGTGATTCTCTGAGACAGCCAAGAAGTCATCAGCGGAAGTTATGTCATTGACAGCATCTGTGAGAACACAGACTTGTTTTTCCCATTGTTCTTTAAAAAGATCCATGTTCTCTTGGGCCAGTTTACTCTGTGGTTTTGCTGCTAAAGCCAATGCAGCATTGATAACCTGAGGACAGAGGGCTTCTAACTGGCTTGCAGACATTCGAACAAGCTTTACACCTTCTTCATTATTTGAGATGGAGCAGGCCAAGTTGGCAACCTCAATCAATTTGTCAGCATGTCCATCAAAAACTTGAGCATACTCTTTAACTTCTTTCTCATTTCCATTCTTTGCAGCTTCAATCGATACCAAAAGTGGAACACTGGTTTCCAGAAAAGAATCTGAAACATGGTCCATGACAGCTTTGCGGAGCTGTCTACACAAGTCCCTGTTCTTCTTGGTTATTTTATCTATTGCAGAACTGAGTGCATCACTTCTTTCTTTACGTCCAGCATTGCCCATGTACTCCGAAAGCAGGTCCTGCAGGGCCTGGAGAACAGCATTACATTCTGCCACAATTCACTCACAACGATCATCACGTGTACAGGATGAGTCAGCCATCAGGGCAGCCCCGCTAATGATGCTTTCCAGGCCCTCCTCCAGGGAAGGCCTAAAGCACTCCTCACTGAAGCTCAAGGGGTCCACAATGACTTGTTTTTCAAAGTTATTGAGTGCATATGCCAGTTCTCCTTCTCCTCCCCACTGGTGTTGGGAGGCATCGTCTGAGGCAGTGGCCTGGACTGCATTGGAAATGCCTGTGACTGCCTGCTGCAGCTGCTTGTATATCAGGTCCCTATTGGCCTTATAGGCTGTGACATCAAGGTGCTGTAGGCATGCCTGGGATGTGGTATAGAGGATCGGAACATTCTTCTGCAGGATTTCTCTAGCTGCAGCCATCTGATCATGATGGCCAACAACTTTCGGTTCTTGTTGCCTTTTGGCTGCCATAAAGTTCAGCTTATCCACTTCAGGTTTTAGGGCTTTATACTGTATTCCTATGTCTTGTTCATTGCCAGCATTCCTCAACTTCAAGATAGCATCTTCCACAACTTTCAGCTGAACAAGTAATTTGTAGACATCTGCCATGTCAGCCAAAATCAGCAACTGGGTAACAGCAGAGAGCAAAGCTCAAGCTGCCCAAACCATGTTGCCTAGCTTCACAGAAGAGCAGGGATCATCTGCGAACTCTCCCGCAACAGTCTTCGTCAAATCACCTTGTTTTCAAACATCTTCTACAGCAGCCACAAGCTCCTCCTTGAGAAACTGGTTCTCCTTCGCAATTTTATCTACCTTGTCCAAGAAATTCTCAGTTGCTTGTTCAACAGATGCAGCCAAAACATGGGCCTTCTTGGAACTACCTCTCTTCTTATTAGAGGGCCCCTTACTATTGGTGTTTACCAGGGTTGTAACCTGTGTAACAAGGGGCTCCAACAGTCTCTCAACTGCCAGAGTCCTGATCTCTAGACTTTTGGGGTCCCACTTGACGTTTATGTTGCCTGCGTGAACAGCAGTCATTTCCGTGGCAAGTAGGGCGAGCGCTGGATTCCAGAGGCCCAAAGCCCACAGCCGCTGCTTTGTCTCCTTGCTGCTTCTGCCCTTTTCTTGAAAATCAATATCCCATAGAAGTGTTCCTGCTTCTTGACTCTTTATTTTCTTCCATTGATCTTCTTATCTGTCTTAATGCCAATACTACACTATCTTGATTACTGTAGCTTTATAATAAGTCCTTAAATCAGGCATTGTTGGTCTTCCAACTTTGTCATTTTTTTTTTTTTAAGTTGTTTTCGCTACTCTACATCTTTTAAATTTTATTCAAAGTCTTTTGAATTTTAGAGTTAACTTAACATTTTTTCTTATTTAAAAAAAAAAAAAAAACCTGACATTTTTATTGGGATCCTGTTGACTCTATTGATTTAGGGAGAATTACATCATAATAATGTTGCATCTTCTAACTCACAAACGACGTATCACTCTCAATTTATTTAGGCTTAATTTAATTTTTCTCAACAATATATTTTGTTGTTGGTATAAGTAGAGGTCTTTCATATGTTTTGTCGGATTTATCTCTAAGTATTTAATATTTTGTGCTATTATAAATAATACAGTTTCTAATGTTAGTTTTTGGGGGGTTGTTGCTGTATTATATTAAAACAAAATGGATTTTAGTATTTGATTTTTTATCTTGCAACTTTGCTAAACTCACTTGTTAGGTCCAGTAACTTTTTTGTAGGTTCCATCAGATTTTCTACATAGGCAATCATTCTGTCTCCAGGTATACTGAGCTTGACCCTGGGCCAGGCTGCAGTCAGCAGAAGGGCATCACTGCCTGCAGGGAGGGACTGAGAAGAGGAGAGAGCACAGAGCAAAGAAGCCAGAGCCGGCCCGGGGAACCTTGGAAAACCCAAAGCTAGGGGTCATCTGAGAAGAGAGATATCTGGCAAAAGCCAAAATCTGGAGGAAACAAATCCAAACTGGAAACAAAGAAGAGCCAGGATTATTTGGGGATTATTTCCCAAAGCATAGTACGAACAACAGGCAGTTCTCCAGGGGTAAGCTCCTCCACTGCACCACAGCATTCTCAGATTGAGGAGCGTATTCTCTAGCCCTGTAGATCTCTCGGTTGTTTTTGCTTTTGTTTCTGCTTTGGTGGCTAGCAACTGAGAACGACCATGGCTCATGAAAGCAAAAAAGTTTTGAATTGGAAGGCTATGAGAGATTCAAATAATAGAAATAGAAGGACCAGACTTCCAAACGTACAGGACTCAGGATAGTTCAGGGATATGGAGAAACTGAATGGATGATGGCCTGTGCCTTCAGGGTGCAGTCACTGGGGCGAATGGAAGCCCAGAGCAATCGCACTTCCAGTTTCTCCTCTCAGACAAAAATTTCAAGGAGAGAACAGTGGATTGACCTGGGTTGGGTCAAATCCTCACTCACTGGTCAGCAAAGATGGGAGCAGGTTAGGACTACTTGGTTGACAGCCCCACTAAAAAGCTACCCTGTGGAGAAAGGGCCTCCAGCACAAAACTGGGGAGCCCTTACCAGAAGATGAGGTGGATGCCAGGCAGGCAGAAGCAAAAACAACACCAAAGTGAAAAATGCAAACAATTCAGAATGGTTTTGATCACTCAAGCAGTAAAAAAATCTCCAAAAGTGAGTACAAGTGGCCTTTATATCTTATCCAACACTTCATTACACTTTGCCCCAGTGAAACTGGCTTTTTCCAGTGCAGGAAGCAGCAGGCCCACATGTCTGCAGGAGCTTTTCTGCACTACCACTCCCCATGCCTACCCATGAGATTCTTGCAAGACTGGCACTTTCTGGTCACTCCCAGTCAGCAGGCTCAGATGCCATCCCCTTCACCACCTGTCTCCTCCCACAGGCCATCCTGGCTGCCTGCTACAGTATGCCAGAGAGTAGCTGGGCCATTCACTCCTGCAGTGAAGCTAGGGTGCTCTCCTCACCTATGAACCCTAGTACCCAGCCGAGGCCCTGGCATCACGCCAATGCCCAGGGAACTCAGAGAAGGGAAGGTGGGCAGGGCCACTCCCAGGTCACAAAGTAGGTGCTTTGCATACACTTTTGCTCACTTGTACCACATTCAGACGTGTTACCTCATTTGAAAATAATCGGCCTCTAAAACTCATTTCTGAAATACTACATTCTAGTCATTGATCAAATTCTGGCTTCCAGAGCAGCCAATATGGCCCGTGTACCTGGGATATAAATGCATCAAGGCAGCTGGGGAATGGAATGTGCCACAGACCAAGGTCAAGGATGTGGCCTCCAATATCTGCCTTGCAACTATTCACCCTGTGGCCAGATGTTCCCTGAGGCTCCACTTCTCCAAGGACAGGCAGAGAGGCTGCCACCCCCGCTCTCTGTAGCAGGAGGACAGAGGTCCTAGAGCCAGCTACTCCCAGGTGTAAATCATGACTCTCTCTTCTACTATCTTTGGAATCTGAATAATTAATTTAGCCCCAAACTCCACTAATCATGAGGAGCTCCTGGTCAACTCTTGGAAATCACAGATATTTTAACTCCAGAAATGTTGATTCAGGATGTCTGGAAAGAAGCTCAGAAATTCGTATTTCAAAAGCTTCAGAGTGATTCTGCTGACTAGCCAGGCTGAGGAGCCACTTCCTCAGTTGCTCTGAGCCTGTTTCCTCATCTGTAAAATGGAAATAGAAACAGTGTTTTCTTCAGAGGATTTTTAAGAGGGCTCATGAGATAATGAGTGCACATTTCTCGGCAGGCACAATCGACCACTCCTGTAGGTGGTTGGTCAATGGTGGCTGGGTCAGCAGAAATGCCTGAGACCTGTCCTACAAGGCACTTTGTCCAGCACTGGACAGAGTGATGACCATGGAGGTGCTTTCCTGGCCCCAGGGAGACCATGGGCCAGAGCAAGGGAGACAGATAGCACACAGGACACCGAGGATGCATTTCTGTTTGCCACTCTCATTCTCTGGGTCTGCCACTAAACCCTACCTGGGCAGTCACCATGAGGGCAGCCAGAGTGCAGCAGCCCCAGGACACAGCCTGGGTGCTGAGGACAGGCAGGGTTTAAGAGGCAGAGAGAGACCACATTCTGAGTGGGGAGAGGCCAGATGCTGACGTAGGAAGAGATGAAGAGGAACATGGTGGGAGGCAGGGGCTGTGTGGGAGAATTCACTGGGGGCTGGGGTGTCCAGGTAAAGGGGAAGGTGCAGGTTCAGTAGGTGTTACATCTTGAGGGCAAGAGAAATGGACATGGCTCTCCATTCCACTGTCATCCCCACTGAGCAAATCAAGCTCTGAAGAGGGGGTGGGGCCGCTGTGGGATCATTTCAGTCCAGGAGTAGCACAGCAGAGATGATTCAGAGGAAAAAGACTCAGGACAAGTTCCCAGCTCTGCCGGGAACCCTCAGCTTCCTGGAAAAGTAGACCACTATGTCCCTGGTCCTTAGTGAGTGCCTATGAGGAGGGAGGGGTACAAATCTAGGGTATGGACTGAAAATTTGGTAGGGTTTAGAGTAATTGAGAAGAATAAAGATTTCTAGATTTCTTGAAGAGGGAGAAAGGAGCTATGAAAGATAGCTCCTTTCGTGGATTCAGGATTTCATGACCAACACATGGCTCACTTAAGGAAATCCGTCTGGCAGGAAAAGTAAGGACAGCTTTGGGTTTCATCCTAAGAGGGAAGTCAAGAGGAAAGGTGAAAGCATCCACCAGTGAAAAATATCTAAAATTCAGGCCAGCTTCAGGGAGGCATCGTTCACCCCGTCCTGGGCAAGTGTGCCCTGCACCCCACCCTGCACCCCACATGGAGATCTGACTTTTCTCTTCTCTGCATCTCCCTTTGGTTGCTGCCAATCAAATGCCCCTAAGCCCTCACAGGCCCTGCTGTTCGAAGGTGTCTGCTCACAGACTCTCCCTGTGAGTCATCTGGCTCTCCCGGCCCAATGTCAGCATCCCTGTGTGTCTCATTTTCAAAATCCAGAATAAAGACAGTGTAACTGGTCAATATGGCGCCATATGGAGCTACCCAGCTGGGCAGAGCTTTTGCAACAGGCCACTGACAGAAGACGTAAAGTTTGCAGCAGGCTCAAACCCACAGTCTTGTCATTTATAGCAACACCATGCAAAAAAAATATTTTTTTACCTTCAGTGGTCAACACATTCATTTATACTTCTAGCTATGTATGCACTGGGCATCGGCAGACATGGGCGTGCAGGGAATCACTCATTAGACAGATAAGAGAAAAATAAAGAAAAACCAGCTCCTGAACACATTAAACTTCTGTTGGGGTCATGTTGCACTTCATGAATCCAGATGTATGGCAGAGATGGGTTTGCCATAGCCAGTTGTTACAAATGGTTTCTTTTACAATGTTCTTTCTTATCAGCAGTTCACAGGAGTAGTGTCTTTATCACAACCCACCAGGGCAGCCCCACGCATGAAGTCAGCATTTAAACATTGGCCAGGGATGTACTAGACCACCCAGGCTCCCACAAGCTCCCAACACTGCGCCCACACTGGCCAGACCTGTGCTGGCTGGAGCTCTGGTGTCTGGATTGGGTCGCTGAGATGCTTTGAGAGGTCTGACATTATCATTTATTTAACCACGGTGTTGAGGGTACAGGGCCAGAGTGTGGTCTCTGTGGCAACTGATTGCAGCATTGCACATATCTGGAGGGAGAAGTACATTTTTAGATGGATGATAGAGGAGGTGGTTTGAGAAAAATGTTCAGATCTGGTTAAACTCTTTTGTGGCATTGGGGAACTTATTTAACCTTCAGCTTCTCTTCCACAGAAAGGAACTACAGATGTGCACATAATGCGCACATGGATTTCAGTGGAGACTGGTAAGGGCAGCCTAGAATAGTATCTACCCACTAGAATACGGGAGAGTAATTTGGCAAGGGGTGGCTTCAGTTTCTGAAATTGGCTCCAGTTTTAGAAATGATAGAAAGCAAATGAGATCATCCCGGTGGCCTGACAAATACCTTCAATTTATCCCATTATTCCACTT